ACCCACCCAAAGCTGGTGCCAGAGACACAAGCCGCCCAAGCAAAGTTCCCGGCAAAACGTGGGCAGGCACTTACCTGGGTCGTCGAGAGCGTCGGCCAAATCGAAGTCACCTTGACCTGCGGGGAGCACACAGGGCGTGAGTCACACCGAGATGACACAGCCAGGGCCCCTGGTTGTTTGTCTAAAACCCTCAGATCCCCGCTCAGAGCAAAGGGCAACACCCCCTGAGCGAACCCTTGACCCTCCAGGTCCCATGGGTGGGTCAAACCAGTATCTTATATTTCCCCGGAAGGAATGGTGGCCCCTCACTGCAGAGATGTCTCAGGGAAGATTATTATATAAAGTTTCTTAAATCAGAGGAGAGAGATCCTCCTAGGACCCCAGCTGCCTCTATCGGCCGGCTTGGCTCAGTGGTTGAGCATCGACCTATGAACCAGGAGGTCGCTGGTTCCATTGTCTGTCAGGGCACATGCCTGGGTTGGGGTTCGATCCCCAATAGGGGGTGTGCAGGAGGCAGCGGATCCACGGCTCTCTCATCATTGATGTTTCTCTCTCTCTCTCTCTCTCTCTCTCTCTGCAGTCAATAAAAACATACAAGAAAAAGTAGCGTTGGAATTCGCACCTGGACCCTCCAGCAACCTCAGTCCCAGCCCGGATGGCGCGTGGCAGGCTCAGGGTTTCCTGACCGAGGGACCTCGGGCCCCAGAATGGATGCAACCCCAGGTATGAGCATCCTGAGTCGGGACAAACCACAGGCCTGGAAGGGCAGGGGAAACTGAGGCCCGAATGCACCCACCAGCAGCCCAGGGCCCAGAAGCTGATGCAATTACAGGCCAACTGGCAGAGAGAGAGGCGTTTCTAACTCTGGGGGTCCCTCCAGATATCCGTGTTTTGCAGGGTCTCATCTGCTACAGCCTCCGCTTGCTCCCACGGGGGGCACCCTGGTCCTTCCTTGGTCCCTTAGTCGCCACTGTGAACGGGCTCGGGGACAGGACAGGGCGTCAGCCACCTGGATTCCTGGGACGCCTGCCTCCAAGGGCAGTCAGAGGGGTGTGGCTGACCCTCCTCCGAGGCCGCCCAGCTGCATTGACCGAATTCCAACAGCTCTGGATGATTCACAGACAACTTCCAAAGGGGCTCGGCCGTCCCAGGAACGTGATAAACTGATGCCAAACTATCTCCTGAGGGCTGTGTGCTGGCCACGCCCTGGTCCCAGGTAATCCAAGGCCTCCGTGTTCCCCCGGGTTCCCCGAAAGGCCCTTGCACAACACACCGGGAGGCACCGGTGAGTTATCCCCGCAGGGCACAGGGCCACCTCCGGGGACAGAGGTCCATGCTTTCAGGGGCATGTGGGACCCCCTCCTGGCTTTGCAAACCACCCTCCGTGTCCCCTCTTCAGCTGCTTCTGTTATTGGCGAGAAAAGGAAACCTTGTGTTTTGAGGGAAAGATTTCAATCGAGAGACAAAGTGTAGAGCCCGGCCGGCCTGGCTTTAGTTGGTTGGGGGTCCCACCTGTGAACCACGGATCCCCGGTCAGGGCACAGGCCCAGGTTGTGGGTTCGATCCCCAGCAGGGGGCCTGCAGGAGGCAGCTGATCAATGACTCTCATCACTGATGTTTCTCTCTCTCTCTCCCGCCCTCTGAAATCAATGAAGATTTATTGATTAGAAATAAAGATTTATTTATCAATAAAAAAAATCTATATTTTGTACCAAAATGAGATTTTTTTCCCTTAATCTGTCCTTGGGTGTAGTTAGCAAATGGCACTAATTGGATTTCTGCTGCCTGTGTCCCTGTGGGGGAGATTTAAGCTATTTGCCCTCTGGTTGGGGGAAAAGGGGGCAAATGGCTTAAGTACAAACCATTTACTCTCAGGTGTCCCTGGTTTAGGGAAGGCAGGATTTACTAGGGGGCTGCAAACGGCTGTTTAACGGTCTGCCTCAGTTTCCCTATTCCGAGTGTCCCGGAATTTTTCTAGCTTCTTTATTTTTTAAAATACATTTTTATTTATTTCAGGGAGAGGAGGAGAGGGAGAGAAACATCAATGATGAGAGTCATGGATCGGCTGCCTCCTGCACGCCCCCTACTGGGGATCAGGCCCCCCAACCCGGGCGTGTACCCCGACTGGATCCTAGGTCAATGCTCAACTGCTGAGCCACGCGGGCCAGGCTCCTAGTTTTTTGGGGTTTTTTTACTAGTCTACAGCACCTCCTTGGGCTGGGAGGTGCTTGGGATGCCTCCTCCAGGAGGCCACCGGGGAAGCCGCACCTGGTGAGTGTTTTGTTTTGCAGGGAAATAACTCTGAGCATGACTCAGACGTTTGGGGGGGACGGGTGGAGGCTCCAGCCACCTGGTTGCATAACCCCGGAGGCTTCAGCCAGCAGCAGGCACCACGTGTAAAGCCCTCCCACCCCCAGTCCTGCAGGGGGCAGTGTTCCGCTCCCCAGAAAAAAAACCTCTGCAGAGCCCAGGCTGGTCTCAGGAGGCCTTTGCATCTGGGAGATTGCTCAGCGAGAAGATGCTGATGTGGGGGGTTCGATTTTGGGGAAATGGGGGGAAGTGAGCTTGCTGATGAGGCAAAACTTTCATGACCCACATTTTCCACTCAGGGCATAAGACTGGAATTGGACTGTAAGGTCTGTTTCTCATTTATTTTTGTATTTTTGGGTTGTTTTTTTTGTTATTTTTTTGCTTAGCTAGCTCTGGGGTTTAATCAAACCCACGTGCCTTGGGGCCCGGAAACGTCCGAGGAGGAAGCAGCCTCACCTTTTCCCAGCTCGCAATGCCCGTCTTTCCCATCAAACACCAAATCAGGTTATAATTCATGCTCTGGATAATTTCTCACAGGCAATTATTCACGATGTAATCACTGCACGACTGTTATTAGCCAGGCAGTGTACTAGACCCTACTTGTAACTCGAGGTCTGGCAGCTTAAATGCCAAGAACCCTGATAAAATCCTGAGCACACCGTAGTCCATGTCCTCGTAGAGAAACGGCGTTCGTACTCCCTCAGCAAAGAACTGAGATAAATATTAAACAGGTTACTGTAAATAACACGCTCGTTGGATACTAAGTTACAGAAATATCAGGGATTATCCTATGGAACAATTAAAGTCTAATTGCATCCATTAAAAAAACAAAAAAAAAAAAGCAACAAAAATAAACAATGTTGTTCTTTTATCCTGGACAATCTGGGGACATGAGCTAAAGGGGTTCAGCTGCTGGGTAGGAGGTTGGTGTTATACACACGGCTCTCTCTTCCCTCAAAAAAGCTATTCTTGCCCTGGCCAGTGTGACTCAGTCGGTTGAGCATCGCCCTGTGCACGGAAAGGTCAGGGGTTCGATTCCCGGTCAGGGCACCTGCAGGGGTTGCAGGCTCCATCGCCAGTAGGGGGCATGCAGGAGGCAGCCGATCCATGTTTCTCTCTCAAATCAACATTTTTCTCTCTCTCCCTCTGTCTGTACGATCGATAAAAAAATATTTTTATAAAAGAACTAGGACATTTAATTTTTTTTTTAAGAAAAGCTATTCTTGGAGGCTTTGCGTCCCGCTTGGAAGAATTCTGTCGTCTCTACTAACCAAAGACAGAGCCACAGACCCGAACCCAGTTCAGAGTCTACCCTGGGAGATTCGTTCCATCCCCCAGAGGACCTTTCATTCCTGAGTTTCTCAACTTCCATTCATTGCCCTTCGTCAATACCAGCCGTCGCAAGGTTGCAAAAAGCAAAGACCAGGCCTGGCTTTTCTTTCCTTTTTTTTTTTTTTTTTTAAATCTTTATTGATTTCAGAGAGAGGAAGGGAGAGGGAGCGACAGAGAAACATCAATGATGAGAGAGTCATTGATCGGCTGCCTCCTGCACACCCCCGACTGGGGATCGAGCCCACAACCGGGCCTGTGCCCTGACTGGGAATCGAACCCTGACCTCCTGGTTCATAGGTTGACTCTCAACCCCTGAGCCATGCCGGCCGGGCACAGGGCTGGTTTTTTTGCAATGATACTACTACTAATAATAATACCGTCCAAGACCCGTGCTCTGCAGAACCATAGCAACCGAGGCGGAAAAAAACCACAGAAACCAAAACACGCTCCCTCCCAGTCCCCAGGAACCACAGAATTATGTTACTGTGGATCTAAAATGAGAAAGTTAGCCCCAGGCAAACTCTGAGAGGGAAAAAAACCAAAAACAACCCAAAACACACTCCAAAGAAAGATACCATTTGCTATCTGAAGCCCTCACACCAATGACCACAATCAGCAGCAGATTTTATACACCACAGAGTTTAACTCCCCGTGGACTGCTTGGGGCACACTCCCCGCTCCAGGGTGCGGACCGGCTCTGGGATTTTATTTTATTTTATTTTTTATTTTATTTTTATTTTATTTTATTTTATTATTTTATTTTTTATTTATTTTATTTTATTTTTTTCAGCTCTTGGATTTTTTTTGATTTTTTTTTAAATTTTTTTATTTTTTTTCTGCTCTCGGATTTTATTTTATTTTATTTTATATTTTATTTTATTTTATTTTATTATTTTATTTTATTATTTTAATTTTTTTTAATTTTTTTTTTGGCTCTCGGATTTTATTGTCCCTCCTGGAACAGGGGTCCCTTTACAACTGTTTCTTTTACTTATTTATTTCCGCATCATCATCTCACTGCCGATGTCAGCTTTCCATTGGACTTGTTACGAGAGAGATCGACTCGGGCCTGGCCAGTTTCCCTCGATGGTTAGAGCCTCGGCCTGTGGACCGATGGGTCCCCGATTTGATTCAGGGTCCAGGGCAGGTCCCTGGGTCCCTGGCCCCCATCCAGGCGAGGGTGGGAGGCAACCCATCCATGTGTCTGTCTCTCACATCCATGTTTCTCTCTCTCTCCCTCATTTCCACTCTCTGAAAAGCAATGGAAAAAAATAACCTCGAGGATTTAAAAAAAAACAAAAACAAAAAAAAACCCCAGCATAACCCATGGACACAGACAATAGTGTGGGGAAGGCCTGGGGAAGGGGGGCCGGGTGGAGGGGCTCCTTGGGCGAGGGGGGAAATACTTTCAACAATAACGATCAATTAAAATAAATAAATCGCGAAATGAGCGTAAAAGAAAGAGCTTGGGGCCGCCCTCGCATGGTCTACGGAACAGGCCTCTCAGGCAGCCGACGCCCGAGAGGCAAAAACGTATTAGATTTGATGAATTTTGTGGGTCCCTGTGGCTAACGGGGGTGTCACTGGGGAGGCGTTTTGCCGGGAGGGCTCAGGCCTACAACCCACCGACGATATATAAACAGGGCAGGTGATGGAGGACAACGTGGGTGGGCCTCATGAGACCCGCCGAAGGCCTTAAAAGCAAAGATCGAGGCGCCCCAGGGAATGAGGAATTCGGGCTCGAGGGGGGCAGGTTCGAATCCTGACTCGGCTTCCAGCCTGACCTACACGTTTCACACTTGCCGCCCCCAGGGTCTTGTAAGCCTGTCTCTTAAAATAAATTTTACTTCCTAGGTAGGTAGGTAGATAGGTTTCTGAACCTCAGCAGGACCAGCAGTTGAGGGGTGAGTAATTAATTCCCCGTCCTCTGCATGGCAGGACATTCCGCAGGACCCCTGGCCTCCCCCCATTTGACCACAGCAGCCCCCCCACTCCCAGCTGTGACAACCGAAACTGACTCCAGATATTGCCACGCGCCCCCTGGGGACAAAGCCTCCCCTGAATCGGGAAGGTCTGGCTTCAGCATCTCCACCTGGGCGGGGCGGGGGGGTCACGACCTGCACGTGTTCGGTGATTCACCCCTGAATGGGTTCCAGTCACCACGTCCCCCTGTCCCCCCGACCCCGGCTCCCGTGTCTGGAACCCACGAGGCTCAGCTAAGCTTCAACCAGACGGCGGGACGCTCGCTCCCATATCATCTCTCAGAATCTCGCCCAGGGTGTTTCTGCAAACGCCGGGTTCCCAGCTCCCCGGGGGCCCCACCCACCTCCTCAGTGAGGTTCTCAAGGTGTGGGGCCCGGCCTGGGGCCCTTCAACCAGCTCCCGCCCAGGTGAGTCCCGCGCACAACAAGCCTTGGGAATCCTTGCCCTAAATAACTGGGCACCTTCAGCCTCTCAGACGGGCCAGGCGACAATGTGCAGGTTAAATGGACATAATTCGGGGGCGCTGACTTCACACCCGCCCGCGGGTTCGGCCCAAGGATGCTGGACGGCCCAGGAGCAAAACAGCAGAATTAGAAACAGGCTCATCGACCTGGCCGGTGTTGCTCAGGGGCTAGAGCTAACGTTAGGCGGCTCAACGAAGGGTCACGGGTTCGATTCCCGGTCGAGGACACGTGCCTCGGTCGCAGGTTCCACTCCCGGCCTGGTCGGGGTGCGTGCAGGAGGCGACCAAACCGATGTTTCTCTGTCACATCCATGTGTGTTTCTTTCTCTCTCTCTCTCCCTCCCTTCCGGTCTCTCTAAGAATCAACAGAAAAAAATACCCTCGGCGGGGGCCGTGGGCCGGTGCGGGGGGAGATTAACAATAACAAAAAGAAAGAACAGATGGAATTAAAGGCATAAATCTCATTTGGGTGCCTCAGCATAAAGCTGGTGAATATTCTATTGAGATCCTGCCTTAATACCTCCCCTAAAGGCCCAGCCTTGAAAACCCTCAAAATAAAGGTCCCAGCACATGCTCGGCCTCCCAGGAGCACGCCCCTGGCACCCCCACATATTCCCTCACAGGCTGGCATCCCCTAAACTCTAAGGGACCCCATGGGGGGTGCAATGGACAGTGGCAGCTTGCCCTGGGCCAACGCCCTGAACCTGCCCCCGAGGCCCCCTTTTCTCCGACTCCTCAGGGAGCCCAAGCAGCCCAGCCCACGCTCATTTCCCCACCCAGCCCCTCTCCTGCTGACGCTTCCGTCCTAAACCCGTCCTGGCTCCCCCGCTGTCCCCGGATTTAACAAACATCCCCTAAAATTCTCCCGGGCTCGGCTGCCAGAGGGGCCCGCTGGAGGGCGGAGCACACTTTGCACCGTGGAAGCCCAGCCGCACGTGGGAAATACACTCAGCCCACGGTTCTCACAGCTGCGAGAGGAAAAAAAACAAACAAAAAAAAACCCCCCAAAAACTCCGGGACCTGCTTTTCGGGGGAGCTGGGCTTGCAGCTGGGCCTCCTCTGGGTGAATCCGAAATCTGCCCCCTCCTGTTTCTGCAAATTTGGGGAGTGGCATGTGGCTGCGAAGGGAAGCTCCTGAGTGGGTTGCAGGGCTGTGTGCACCCTGGGGATGGTCCCCGGACGACAGGGCTTACAGGAGGGTCTCGGTGGGGGTCCGGGGGCCTGTGCACCGGGGTCCCGATCCCAGCCCCTGTCCCTAAACAACCAGCTCGTATCCTTCCAGACGCAGCAAACAGGACAAACAGGAAATGCTCGATCACGCCCAACGTCTGGACGCCATCAGTTCCTAACCCAGCACGGTTCCCACCCCAAGTTCCAGCCCTAGGCCTCCCCCTGGAATTCAGACATTCACACGAGCACGGCTGTTTAAATCCTAAAAAAAAACGTAAATCCTAAAAAAGTTTAGGGTCCCTGATGGTCCCTAAACAAGGCCCCCGCCCTCCCCAAACAGCCCCAAATCCTATTATCATCGGGGGGGGGGGGGGATTGGGGGAGACAAGACACCCCGCCATCCGGGGCGCACACGACTCAGATGTTTTAAATCGACCTCCAGGAAGGAAGCCACAGATGAAAAGTTTTTTAAAATCCTGAGGGGCGGACGAGCCAGCCTGGGGCCCTCAGCACCAATGTCTCAGGAGCATTTCCCCCGTCCGCAGACCATCTCGAAATCAATCAGCCAGGGGGGGATTTAGAAACCCCCAAAACGCGCCCTGTTCTTTCCAGAGCCCCGAGACACGCCCTGATGCAAAACCCCAAGAACAGCGTCGGCTCGAGCACCGTGGGTAGCTCAGCCCACCAGCTGCACGCGTTTAGTTTCACTTTGGGGACCCCCCCCAACCCCGCTTCACGTAGACATCCCTGCCCTGTCCCCTCCCAGCTGTCATTTCTGGTCCCCTCCCTGGACCTGGCTGCTTTGCAACGAGATTTCAAAGCAACCGGGGAGAAAAGACGACACCCACACGCCCCTCTGTGAGCCCGCAGCCTCTCTTACCTCGGGCGTGGATCAGGAAACACAGGAACGACACCCAGAAGAGCCCCCACGGATTTCCCATCGCTCCCGTGCGGAGGAAGGGACCTCAAGGGGTCCCCGCAGCCAAGGGACTCCGGAGATGAGTCACCCCGCCCGCCCGTCTGTCCGTCGGTGGTGTTGACTTCTTTCCCAGCGAGGGAGGGAGGCGGGTAGGATGCCTCCAAGTGGAAAGTGTGACCCAAACGGCAGCCCCGTTGCCAGCATTCAAAGGGCTTGTTGCTCAGGCTCCAAAAGCCAGAGCCAGCCAGGGACCCGTGAGACAAGTGAGTGCACCAGGCCCGTCCCGGGCCAGCCTCCCTGAGCCTCGACGGCCAACCCTGCGGATGGCACGGCAGACAGGCAGGCGGGCACCAATGGGCCAGCTGGGCTGGGGAGGCCGGCACGCCCTCTCCGTGGCTGGGCTCCCTGTGGGTGTGGGTGCAAAGATAAAAGGGTGCCAACCCCGGGCTCAGGACGCTCCCGGCCCACAGGGCTTCTTCCAGCAAAGCAAGACCAGGCGCTGGGTCCGTGCAAGATCCTCAAACACGCCTCAGTGTAAGTCTCTGCTTTTGCTACTTGCAAGATCCTGAGCCTTCAAAGAGACACTCCGCCCGCCCCCCAGCCCGTGCCAGCCTCAGGGATCTGGAGAGATTTCATTTCTGGGGCAAATGGCCCAGCTGGGGTTCCGGTTCGACAGCCTGAATCCAACCGGACGGGGTCTCGGGCTGGTGGGGAGCCCAGAGCAGGCTCTGAAAATGAGCCGCTGATCAATTCCACGGAGGGAAATCGGGACGCACGCGGCCGATGGAGCAAACGGAGGCGGCCGTGAGGCTGAGGTCTTTGTCCGGAGTGGGTTGGGGTGTCGTCGATGGAGACGGCGAAGGCAAGAGTGTGGTCCGGGGTTGGGCCACCAGGACCAGGTTTAGATTCAGGTGGGTTTCAGTTTTGAGTGACTACGAAGGGGTCTCTGTTTCTTAATTTCATGATTTTTCTTTCCATCGGAATAGTATGCAGCTCTGAAAAAGGTGGGTCTCTTATCCTTTGGGGCAGCAGGGAGGGACCTGGAGAGTGTTATACTGAGTGAAATAAGCCCATCAGAGAAAGGCAAGTATCCCCATGGTCTCACTTATATGTAGAGTCTAATGAATAAAATAAACTGACCAATAAAATAGGTCCAGAGACACAGAAGCATGGAGCAGACGGAGGGATCTCAGAGGGAAGGTGGGATGAGGGAAGGGAGAGATTAAGCAAAGAACTTATATGCATCTGTGCACAACCNGAAGCATGGAGCAGACGGAGGGATCTCAGAGGGAAGGTGGGACGAGGGAAGGGAGAGATTAAGCAAAGAACTTATATGCATCTGTGCACAACCCACGGACACAGACAATAGTGTGGGGAAGGCCTGGGGAGCGTGGGTGCTGGGTGGACGGGTCAGAAATGGGAACATCGGTAATACTTTCAACAATAAAGATAAATTTTAAAAAAAGAAACTACCAAAAAAATTAAAAAGGAGTCAAGTTCCTTTACTCAGCAACAATTAGGCAATTCCCGGCTTTACATAAACAGCAGAGGCTGTGGACGATACGGAGCTAACTGGGAGGGAACCGTCAGGCCAGGAAATGTTTGGTGGCTGCTGTGGGTTGATTGTGTCCCCACACGAAGATATGATGCAATCTGACCTCCCAGGACCTCGGGAAGGGGCCTTATCTGGAAACACGGTGTTTGCAGATGGGGTGACGTGAAGGCCCTGAGATGCAGTCGTCCTGGGTCAGGGGGTCCGACGCCCAAGGGCAGGGTCCTTGGAAGAGACAGAAGCAGAGACACGGACACAGAGACGAAGCCGCGTGGAGACGGAGGCGGAGACGGGAGGGAGGCGGCCACCAGCCCGGGGACGCCTGGAGGCCCAGGAGCTGGGAGAGGCAGGAAGGACCCTCCCTGGGGCCTCCAGAGGGAGCTCGGCCCTGGGACCCCCGGATCTCAGACATCTGGTCTCCAGGATGGAGACAAAGTATATATTTGTGGTTTTAAGCCACCTGGCTTGTGGTCATTTGTTACAGTAGCAACAGGACCCTAATACAGTTTCATTTTTTTAAAAAGATACATTTTTATTGATTTCAGAGAGAGGAAGGGAGAGGGAGAGAGAGAGAGAAACATCAATGATGAGAGTCATGGATCGACTGCCTCCTGCACGCCCCCTGCTGGGGATCGAGCCCACAACCTGGGCCTGTGCCCTGACCGGGAATCGAACCCCGACCTCCTGGATCCTAGGTTGACGCTCAACCACTGAGCCACGCCAGCCAGACCAGCTTCTGGGTTTTAGTTGTGTGTTTTGTTGTTCGTGGGTTGTTTTTTTTTTCTTCCCCCCACAAAAAGAAAAATGACACCAAGAGAGCAAGTATTTTTGTCTCCGGGCGTAGAAATAAACATCCCCAACCCCCCTGGCTCCCAAAATTCTGCCTCTCACGGGACCGTCATCAATGCTCTAGCCAGCTCATCAGTACAATTATGCAGAATTAGACACAGGCCTTTTTTGTGTGTGTGCATTTTTTTTTTTTTTCCAAACAGCAATTGGATGCAAACAACGCTGTATCCTTTTGACAAAGGCTGGAGCTGAACTGAAATTCCATTTTTTCTTATTTTTGTTAGGCCCAAGGATATTTTCTTCCATCCGTTTTTAGAAAGCGTGGAAGGGAGAGAGGGAGCGAGAGAGAGAGAAACATGGATGTGAGAGAGACACGCGTGACTGGTCACCTCCCACAGGAGCCCCGGCTGAGGCTGGGACCAAACCTGCAACCCAGGTGTGTGGTCTTGACCAGGAATCGAACCGGAGACCCTTTGGTCCAGGGCGGGGCGACGCTCTGACCACTGAACCCCACCAGCCAGGGCATGTCCACCGCTTCTCCCCAGGCAAGAGAAACGCAGGCCTCCTCTTTGAAAGCAATTCCAGGAACCCAGAGCCCGGCTCTTCCCGCGACCACAGGGAAATGGGGAAGGTTTAATGGGAACCGAAAGAAAACCAGAGAGAGCTGAACATCCATTATTACGTCCATTATTTAAGTCAGAAGTATCTTATGTAACGACCACATTGTTTGCGCCTTGTATCTGAAACCTCCTTGAAAAAAAAATAAAACAGAGCCTGGCCGTGGCCAATGGTGCTGCTCAAAGGTTAGAGCATCACCCCGCACAGCGAAAGGGTCTCGGGTTCGATTCCCGGTCAAGAGCATGTACCTGGGCTGCAGGTTCAATCCCTGGCCCCCGGTTGGGGCACGTGCAGGAGGCAAGCGATCGATGTGTCTTGATAACAAAAACTTGGCCACAGCTCAAGTTGGTTGATGAAGATACGTTACGGCCCAGACTCATAACAAATCCTCGACTGTGTCACCGTCTCCCGTTCGGGCTTAAATAAAGTTTTTATCCTGATTTCAAAACCCACCGCTCTGCGGCTTCTTTATAGAGAGGTTTAAAGGGATAAAACAGACGTCGTTTTTGCCAAAATATTTAATGATGCAGCACACTACCTAATTTACATGTGATTTTCCAAAAGATCCACTTTTGATAAAAGCCTATGTATTTGTATGTCCTGTGAAATTAAAAGGGGTCTAGAAAAAATGTACATACGGCCTCCTTAAAAAATGTAGGTCACATATTTCTTTTTTGAAATATGTTTTTATTGATTTTAGAGGGAGGAAGGGAGAGGTGGAGAGAGAGAGAAATATCAATGATGAGAATTATTGATCGACTGCAGCCTGCACGCCCCCGACTGGGGGTCAAGCCCACAACCTGGGCATGTGCCCTGATGGGAATTGAAACAGTGACCTCCTGGTTTATAGGTCGATCGATGCTCAACCACTGAGCCACGCCTGCTGGGTGACATATTTCTTAAATGTATAGATTTATTTATCAGTCATAATTCCAAATACTTTAAAAAAACATTATTTCCTTATAACGTTATCTCAGTGAGACATGTGTGCTCATAGCATATAATAGACATGCTTATAAAACGTCGATGTTATTCAGAGTAACAAAAAAAATGCATTTTAAAAGTTTTGTTTACATGGCAAGTCAGTGTGCAAATGATCTGACCTCAAAGGCAATCGTCGCTGATGGATTTGGGAGGAAGGTAGCTGTCCCCTGCTACCTTTATGACCCAGGTGCTCCTCGATAGCCAGCAGTGGGAGCCCGGCCTGCTGGCGAAACTCAGCCTTGACAGCTGGTTGGCCCTGTCACTTCATGAAAGAGAGAAGACGTGTCTGTTACAGCTCCTAGAATCCTGAATGTCATGTCCTCTGCTGTGCATGCCTGGACCACAAGGGCACCCAGTAGGTATTTTTCTTTTTAATTTTTTTTAAATATATTTTTATTGATTTCAGAGAGAGGAAAGGGGAAGGGGAGAGAGAAATATCAATGATGAGAGAGCAATTGATTAGCTGCCTCCTGCCTGGGCTATACTGGGGAGTATCTGAATGCAGAGGAGTATCTGCATATAGGGGAGTATCTGCATGCAGGGGAGTATCTGAATGCAGAGGAGTATCTGCATGCAGGGGAGTATCTGCATGCAGGGGGAGTATCTGAATGCAGGGGAGTATCTGCATATAGGGGGAGTACCTGCATGCAGGGGAGTATCTGAATGCAGGGGAGTATCTGCATGCGGGGGAGTATCTGCATGCAGGGGAGTATCTGCATGCAGGGGAGTATCTGAATGCAGAGGAGTATCTGCATGCAGGGGAGTATCTGCATGCAGGGGGAGTATCTGAATGCAGGGGAGTATCTGCATATAGGGGGAGTACCTGCATGCAGGGGAGTATCTGAATGCAGGGGAGTATCTGCATGCGGGGGAGTATCTGCATGCAGGGAAGTATCTGCATGCAGGGGAGTATCTGAATGCAGAGGAGTATCTGCATGCAGGGGAGTATCTGCATGCGGGGGAGTATCTGAATGCGGGGGAATATCTGCATATAGGGGAGTATCTGCATGTAGGGGGAGTATCTGCATGCAGGGGAGTATCTGCATATAGGGGGAGTAGCTGCATGCAGGGGGAGTATCTGCACGCAGGGGAGTATCTGCATATAGGGGAGTATCTGCATTCAGGGGAGTATCTGAATGCAGGGGAGTATCTGAAGGCAAGGAAGTATCTGAATTCTGGGAAGTACTTGTTTGGGATGTGACAAGACAAGTGAAAATTTCATGAAGAAAAAAAATACCCAGAACATGAGCAAGCACTGAGGCTGATGGTTTGCGTTACAGTCGCAGGAAAGGGACCACGGGGTCCATCCCACTCGTCTCCGGAAACCGTTTTTAAACGTTACCCCCACAGCAAAATATGTCCGTAAAAAGTATGTGGTTTCTCATTTCTTTTTTATTTGTCCGGTGTAAAAATATCCTAAGAAACGAAAGAGATTTTGAGGCAACGGATCACTTTTTGAATTGCCAGCCTTAGGGAGTTGCGGGTGTGTCCCATGGACACGTAGTTTTGTAAACAGCTCAGGGTTCCTGAAATTCGAATGACGGGGGGCTTTGCGATGGCTGGGTTTTTCACGTCTCATAGGAACCCCTAAGTGCCTTGGAGAAGGTGAGGGACATTTTCCTCTGGATGTAAAACTCAGTGTCAGTCAACATCTACCCAGGATGGGGAGAGGTAAACCGCATGTAAGTTTAAAAAACAAGAATCCAACTTGAGCAAAGGCAGGGCAAGACAAGGCCGGTCCAGGCAGGTGTGGTTCCTGGAGGGTTGGTCCAGGTGGAGCTGGTCCAGGTGGAGCTGGTCCAGGTGGGGCTGGTCCAGGTGGGGCTGGTCCAGGTGGGGTGGTTCCTGGCTGGGCTAGTCTGGGCACGGCAGGCCCTGCCCTCCTGCAGGCACTCTTTGGAGGTGCAGCAGGNTGGTTCCTGGCCGGGCTAGTCTGGGCACGGCAGGCCCTGCCCTCCTGCAGGCACTCTTTGGAGGTGCAGCAGGCGACGCTTGCAATCCCGCTGTGAACGTTGGGCCATTTGGGGCTTTTACGCTGTCAATATTCTATTTCGTGAGAAGAGTCTTTTGAACTGCGGAGAACAAGAAGACAAGAAAAGATTTCACAAACGGGCTCCCCAGCTCCCCCAACATGCACGTTTGACTATCTGCCTCTTCGAAGTTTCGGACTCAACGACTCTATTTTGATTATAAGATAAATGGGCTTGAAACGCCTCAGGGACAGAAAGCCAAAACTGTATCTAATCTGCTGGGGGGGGGGGAATCAATGAATTCCATAGTGTGATACAATGTAACTGGAACCAATAGAAACTTCAGTAAGAGCAGGAAAAAAAAAAAAAGAGAAACATTTTCTACCAGCANGAAAAAAAAAAAAAAAAGAGAAACATTTTCTACCAGCAACTTCTGCAAGTCAGGGAAAAACCTCTGCGAGCTGCTCAAATTTCAGAATAAATAACTGTCTAATGAGATTCCTTCGATTTTGTTATTTTACAGTAATTTGGGGCTACAGCTTTCTGATCAGTTCACTTAAATTTTAGAGATCTCTTTTGCATTTTTGGTGCTTAGAGACAATAGCTCATTTGGTTGGAGAACTATGATGATGCCTGGCCGGCGTGGCTCAGTGGTTGAGCGTCAACCTACGAACCACGAAGTCGCTGGTTCCACGCCTGGGTTGTGGGCTCGGCCCCCAGTAGGGGGCGAGCAAGAGGCAGCCAATCCATGACTCATCATGGATGTTTCTATCTCTCTCTCTCCCTCTCCCTTCCCTTCTCTGTCTGAAATCAATAAAAATTTTAAAAAATTGTTTTTAGAAAAAAGAAATGGAAAGAAAACAGCTGCCGGGATCAGCGTCTCTTCTCACCTTGTGGCTCTGCGTTGGTGCTTCGATGGTTCTCCATGTTGATGTCGCCTTGCTCAGCTGAAAACAAAAACACGACACCACCCCAGGGTGAATGCAAAGAGGAGACACGGAGATGCCATTCCCAGACTGAACCACGGACGCCCCTGCCCTCCTCCCAACCCATCCTGGAATCCAGAGCTCAGGGGGCTCACGGGCACCTTTCTGATTGCTCCTAAGTTTTCTTCTCGTCTAGACTTTTTTCAATATTGCTCACTTTAAAAATATATACTTTTTTTTTTTAATTGATTTTCTAGAGAGAGGGAGAGGGAGAGAGAAACATCGATGTGAGAGCAATACATCCACTGGGCCACCTCCTGCATGCCCCCTACTGGGGACTGAACCCACAACACGCGCATGTGTCCTGACCGGGAATCGAATCAAACCGGCAACCTTTTGGTGCACAGGATGAAGCTCAACCACTAAGCCACACTGGCCAGGGCTCTAAGCTTTTTTGCCTTTTTTTTTTTTTTTTTTAAGAAAATGCAGTTTTTAAGTCAGTAAGGCACAAAAAGAAGGAAGCAGCAGTTGAATCCTTACCATCCCCTTTGAAGCACAACTTTTTTTTCTGGTAGGCGATAAAACTGGAAATCGCTCCAGCCACAGCGACCACAACGGCCCCGATGATGCCAGGGATCACACCCTGGGGCTCGGCTGTGGGAAGGACACAAGACACTGTTATTGAGAGACCCAGGGTGGGTGGCTGGTGGCCCAGACCAGAGAAATACGGTTGGGGGTGAGTCACAGGGTGACTTCGGAGGGAGCCCCATTCCTGAGCACTGTCCAATTCCCAAAAACAGCTTCAAATCCTTTGGCGCGATATAAAGGGACAACCACATTGCTGTTCCCGGATGGTGCGTGACCCCAGAAAGTCATACGTAGAATTGCAATTAGTTGTACTGCTCTCACTGTGTCCAGCACAATTGGTTTCCAGTGGGACCACCGCCCCATCCTACGATGAAGACAGGGTGCTAACAGCTCCAGGAGGAAGCTCTTGGGCAAGGAGACAGGTTCTGCAGTGGGAGGTGCCAGCTGGGATGGGACAGGGCTGCACCATTCAGGGCCTGCGTGGCCACATGCAAACAGGCTCCCAGCTGTTCATGCCCATTTTTAAAAAATCCAAAGCCAAGATTTCAGAAACCAAGTGTACGTACTCTGTCCATCATCGTCATTCCTCTGGCTTCCTCCACCACCGCCAGGACTGTCTCTGCCACCAGCACCGCCACCTCCAGTTGCAAGAGAGCGACAAACATATTGACCAGTTGCATCAGGGAGATTTTTGGGTAAAGAAAAACACAACCCTAGGACCAGCTCCTGTGACTGTGACTTGTGAAGGGATTTTACCGGAAGAGACCACGACAGTGACAAGGACATTTGATATCCGTGAGCCCTTTTCCATCGTCAAGCAGAATGGCCCCGCTCTGCGGAAGGTATCGTCTGTCTCACGTTTACTGTAAACCTAAATCAAGCCATCCTTGCATGGTGCGCTCCAGGAGATCCACCACCCAGTGAGTCCTGAAGGTGCCTCAGGAATTCTGTCCCCTCATACTGGGCTTGGGGACAATCCGGGTCAGGGTCCTGGAGCCCACCTGAGATCCTGCCTATGCCAATGAGGGTGGGATGGGGGACCAAAGGCATATTTCTGTTGACTCCCTGATATATAAAATATATTAAGACAAACTACATATAAATATAGCAAATACATATAAATATAGCAAATACATATAAATATAGGTTGTCCCAAAAAATATATGCACAATTTGAGTAATTATTAATTCCAATATTTCTTTCGTTTCAGATTTCTCATTGGAATTGATATCATCATTCAAAGTGTGTATACATTTTTTGGGACACCCTGTATATTCTAACAATTATAAACATATTATATATTTTTTAAAATTTTTTTATTGACCGATTATTTTAAATACTCTTTTGGACCCTCCTCTGATCTAAGATTTTAAACACAGAGACAGAAACATATTTTCTAATTCTAACGGAGCCACTGATAGTCCCTCAGCCAAGTTGCATCACTCCATTCTCAAGGCCATGATTTCAACATTCATTGGTTATATGAAACAACACAGAAGCAACATGAGATCATTACAGAAGACATAGGTGAATGGGTCATTTCGGAGGTGTCTGAGAAGTTCGCACTGGGCTCCATCCCAGGGAAAAAGGAGAGGAGTTCCCTGAACCATCAACAGGGCAGCCAGGGACCAGCTTCCCCAGGGCAGGATTTACAGTCCACCCCTTGACGCATCAGTAAATGGCAGAGCTCAGAGGGAAAGATCCAAGGGCTAAGACTTTAGACCCTGCCGTGATTCTGCCCAGGAGGTGAGCCATAGGAAATAGTCAAATCTCGGTTCTCAAGCATCTCCCATCTCGGACAGTTTGGTTCTCGGGCAAGTTGTTCAAAGGNACATCTCCCATCTTGGACAGTTTGGTTCTCGGGCAAGTTGTTCAAAGGAAAAATGCCTCGGTTCTGGAACAAAACTTTGGTTTTCAGCCTGACAACCCTTTCATGCTGATACATTAGCATGACAAAAGGTGTCTCTCAGGCAACAAACGAAGGAGAGAATGCTTTTGTTGCTCTCAAAATCGACAATTGGCACAATTTTAACTCATAAAGAGGCCATCAAGAGTGCTGATATTGCAAAGGCTATGAAAGTTCTCACAAAACAACAATCACAGGCAATTGAAAAGGTAGGAAAACTGTTGATTTGGAAAAAGGAAATGCAATTAGCTAGTGATAGCATTTCGGGGGCAGTGATATAGAAAAAATTAGTTTAAAGCTGGTAGAGGGTGGTTCGATAAACTTAACAAGTGTTTGTTTATAGATTAGACAGTACATTGGACATACACTGTATATGAGAAATCATTTGGGGGGCCTGGAATGGATTAATTCAATCTACATTATTTCTAATGGGAAAGAAATGATTTGGTTTTCGAACGAATGGCTTCTAGAACAGCCTTCCGGAACGAATTAAATTCGAGATCTGGGGTTCCCCTGTAAACAGTGAAAAGAGGCGAAAAAATGACTAACTCTTACCTCCACCAGCTGTCCCATCAAGGAGATCAGAATCTGAAAATCCACCTAGAAAAAAAAACAAAAAACAGTGTTATCTACCCTGGAACTCTCAGGAGGATCTGGATGTCTTGGGCTGAAGGAAACAGCATTAGAACCCACAGCTGATCTGGGAAGGGACCCAGGAAGGTACTACTTTATGGAAGACACCTTTCCAGAAAGAAAAAAAAGCAGTTGCAATTGAATTCCATTTCTATTGGAAAACTAGTCTTGCCTGAAAGTCTAATTAAGCTGAAAAGAGGGAACTGGGGAAAAAAATGCAAAGTGAACACCAATGTTCCTGTTGGATATAACAGTTCTGCCCTGGCCAGTGTGGGTCAGTGGTTAGAGCATCAGCCCTCACACCGAAGAGTCTCGAGTTCGATTCCTGGTCAAGGGCATGTAGCTGGGTTGCAGGTTGGATCCCCAGCCCCGGTGAGGGAGCGTTTGGGAAGCAACTAATTGATGAGTCTCTCTCACATTGATGTTTCTCTCTCTCTGTCCCCCTCCGTATCTCCCTCCCATTGTCTCTTAAAAGCAATGGAAAATAAATGTCCTTGGGTGAGAATTAAAAATAAAATAAAATAATATATAAATAAGATAAATAAAAAATAAATAAAATAAAATATAAATAAAATATAAAATAAAATATAAAATAAAAAAATAAAATAAAATAAAATAAAATAAAATAAAATAAAAAATAAAATAAAATAAAATATAAAATAAAATAAAAACAATCCCAAAGGGCTCAGTGTCGTGTAGGATCATTTCATTGAAGGCTGTCATTCTGCACTCTCCACATTGTGGGTTTGTCCTATCTCTTGACTCTGGACTCAGCAAGATGACTGGCTTTGGGAAACAACATGTTAGCAAAACGGGAGACAAACCAGTATTTTTAGGTAGACTCACAACCCGGCCTGTGTGGCTCAGTGGATCGAGCACCATCCCATGTACCAAGAGGTTGCTGGTTCGATTCCCGGTCAGGGCACATGCCCGCGTCGTGGACTCGATGCCCAGTAGGGGGCGAGCAAGATGCAGCCAATCAATGACTCTCTCTCATCATTGATGATTCTCTCTCTCTCTCCCTCTCTCTGAAATCAATAAAAACATATTTTTAAAAAAGGAAATGAGCTCACATAAGGCTGGTGTTAGGGTGTGACTGATACAGGAGGAAGAGCCCAATCACCCCAGGTGAGGCCAGCCCAGACTGGGGTGACCCCAGACACACCACATCGGTCCAGCCCAGCCCAGTCATGAGACATCATCGCTTTTTAAAAACTTTAAGCTTCCGGATTTAGGAATGCTTCATTAGCCAACAATAGCAAGCTGACACACATCTTATTTAATTCATCAGTTTACTAAAACTTATCATGACTAACTAGAGTTTATTCCATGAATACAGATATATTTTAGATAAAAATATCCTTCAGGCTGGTCGGCCTAGTTCAGTTGGCTGAGCATCGAACCCTGGAACAGGAGGACCCCGGTTCGATTCCCGGTCAGGGCACATGCTCGGGTTTCAGGTTCGATCCCCAGTCGGGGGCGTGCAGGAGGCAGCCAATCGACGTTTCTCTCTCACATGGATGTTTCTGTCTCTCTCTCCCTCTCCTTTCCATTCTGTCTGAAATCAATAAAAACATGTTTTAAAAAATCTCATCATATTCATGGGTTAAAGAGGAAAAAAAGACCATCGACCTTGATGATCACAGGCACCTACCAAAATGAAATATTTACTCTTGTTAAGTAAATGAAAGTGAATTAAATATAGAAAGATATTTCCTGAAATGAATATCAGACTTTCAAAAAAAATCTCTTTTATCTAAAGTCAGCCGACACAAATGTCAGTTCTCTCCTCTCCTATTTTAAAGTGAACTTGGGTTTTCTAGCTGAGGCAAAAGGATACACGTACAAATAAATTGTAGAGAGAAAATAAAAACAGAACGGGAACATTAAAAAAAAAAAAAAATCTTTGCACAACAACGTGACAGTCTTCTTAGAAAAGCTAACAAATGAAGAGAATCCATTAAAAGTTAAAAGGCTGTTCATCATTAAGAGAACAGTTTTTTTAAAATCTACAAAAGCCCTTTCTCTATTACAGAAATGAACAGAAAACTAATGGACTTAAAATGTATTCACAGAAATAAATAAAAACAGGGGAAAACAATTTAGAAACACATTTAAAGAAATAGCGAGAAAGAGGCAGACATAATTGAATCTCAAGAAAAAAGTGCCACCTTCCAAATGTGTCGCCGCTTTGAAAATCCATTTATATTTCTGAATAATGCAAAGGAAAAAATAAATAAATAAATAAAAACGAGGGTTTTGTCCCCAAGAGGAGAGAGGAACCATGACAAAATGATTCTGAAGTTAAAAGAACAAAACAGCTGCAAAAAAAAAAAAACACCCACAAAAATACAGAAGGATCACGAAAGCATAAAAGACACCGTGAAGAAAGTCTTGCTTGTCAAAAAATACTGTTAAGAATATTTAACCCAGCCAGTGTGGCTCAGTGGTTGAACATCGACTTATCAACCAAGAGGTCGCAGATTCGATTCCCGGTCGGGGCACATGCCTGCGTCTTGGGCTCCATTGCCAGTAGGGGGCGAGCAGGAGGCAGCCGATCTATGACTCATCATTGATGTTTCTCTCTCCCTGTCCCTTCCTCTCTCTAAAATCCATAAAAACATGTATTTTTTAAAAAGCTGATATACTTCCTCATATCAATTCTGTATATTTAAAATATTACATTGAGCCCTTTAAAGGGCCCATAAAACCTCGGAAGCAACATCAGCAACCACTGAGTAAAAAATCACATGCAGACCAAAAACATCTTTTCGGAAACTGTCCTGCACGGAAAGAGCACAGTCGGCACATGCAAATCTGAAACTACGCCCTCCTCAGCTGATGTGGAAATGACTGTTCTCCAAACAGACACCAGTTGGAACCCGCAGAGCTTTTGGGTCTTACCAGACGATCCAGGCTGGTTGGGGTTTGGGTAAGGTTTGGGCTTCGGTGGAGCAGGAGTCCCTGGGTAAAGAGGAGAATTGCAACCATGAGCAATTTTCAGTAAGGAACACAAAACATCCACTTGCATACAAACGGTTTACAAAGTGTGTCCTTGGTTGCTGCGGAGACATCCAAATACACTCAACCCCCTGCCCATTTCTTTCTATCGCCTCCCAGCTGCCATAGTTTAGTTCACATCAATCCAATAGAAACTAATAAGCAGGTGTCTGGACCAGCTACTAAAGTTGTGGGTCCCGGTACAAAAAGAAAATGCTGGGTCCCTGGAGAGTCTTATGCTGAGTGAAATAAGCCCGTCACAGAAAGACAAGCATCCCATGGTCTCACTCATATCTGGAATCTAATGAACAAGATAAATCGACAAACAAAATAGATCCAGAGACATGGAAGCATGGAGCAGGCTCAGGGATCTCAGGGGGAAGGCAGGGGGGTT